AATTTCAATTTTATGTGTAACCTAGAAATGATGAACTTATGGGAACAGAGAACAGAATTGTGGCTATTAATGGCTTCAATGTGGGTCTTTTAACAATGGGAAACAATTGGTTTAAGGATATAAAACTGCAGTTGGACAAGAGGCATGGACTCTCTGAGGTCTTGAGGTCTACTGAGAGCATGATAAATATGGTTGATAACAATATGCTACATTTTAAAAGTTGTGAGATAGTATACTTTAAGTGTTCTCAAAACAAAAATGATGAATATGTGATATAACATGTTAATTGGTTTAATTTAGCCATGCCATTGTGAACATACTGTATTTTGTATCATAATTGTGCATGACTATTTATGAGCTAAATAAATGAATGAAAAAAATATTTCTGTAGATTCAGTAATGTCCTTTTTGAAACAGGGTCTTAATATGCTGCTCAAATTGGCCTCCAACTCATGATCCTCCTGCCTCAGCCTCCTGAGTAGCAAGGATTACAGATACGTACCAACACATGGAAGAGCTATTCATCAATTATAAGTCACTAAATTATTGGGCCACATTGTGTGAAATGTACCAGTAAGTGATTTGTTGTGCCAGCGGTAGCATGTGCTTACACAAAGCTAGATAGGATAGCACACTACACACTTAGCATGTGTTATTGAATGAGCTGCACCTGTGCATGGATGGCAGCACAGTAGGTTTATTTATACCTTCATCACCACAAATATGTAACACTTGTGCTATGATGTGACACAAAATAACAAGTACATAGCCTTTTCATATTGGCTTCTTTCAACTAATAATACACATTAATGATTGATGTGCGTGGGTCCATGCTGTGGAGAGGAACAAAGGGGTGTTGCCACCTCTAGGCAGGCAGGTGGTCCTGGGCTGTGTAAAATAGCAGGCTGAGTTAGCAATGGGGAGCAAGCTAGGAAGCAGCACTTCTCCATGGCTTGTTTTAGTTCCTGCTTTCAGTTCCTGCCTTGGCATCATTCAATGGACTATGACATGGAATATAAGTCAAACTCTTTCCTCCCCAAGTTGTTTTTGGTCACAGTTTTAGTGCAGCAAAAGAAACTCTAAGATAGAATCCCAGCAGAAGCTACTAAGTATGCTACTCTCCCACTCACTGTGAGAAGCACAGGCCACAGAGTGAGTTTATCCATAGTTCTAATAATATGTCCAGTCTTTCCAATCAAGTTACAAGAGAAAATCCAACTTACTGTGCAGTAGACCACCTGTTTGTTTCAAATGACTGTACTGTACTGTACTTTGGAGTAATTTATTACGAAGACATAGCAACCTAGAACACTGGTAAATAGTTAACCCTTGCCTTTTCACCCATACAACTGAACAGCTGTTGAAGGGAGCAGCTCCCCATTTCGGCAGCCATGACAGTAACACATGCTTGCCACGACCTTGCCTTGGTCACTAAAAAGTCAGATGCCTGCCTCGTGGCAAGGAACCAATCAGAAGTTAGCTGGTGGTGCTATGCTTTACTGCTCTGGGTGTGCTTTACGGACAAGTACACAGCAATGACGCACATAGCAACCACCCTGGGAGGGCCTATGGGCCATAACAACCAGTTGACCAATCAACACAGGGCAAACCCTCCAAGCCTGGAGCCACACCAATCCTGAGCGTACCCCTAGACACTCCCCTTATGCTGCCCTATAAGATCTCTATGCAGACGCTTTGAGCTGTCTTTCCTAGCCATCCGCCATGGTGGATGGACGGAAGGCCCGAGCTAACATAGGGTTAGCTGGTTAAACAACTATAATAAAGCCGCATGCAGTTTGCATCAAGCTTTCATCTACGCCTGCTGATTGGGGTGACCAAGGTCCTGAGCTGAGATCCTGGAGGCCTGATCTTCCGGGGGGTCTTACATTGTGATAAAACTGATTTATATTTAAAAAGAAAATGCTTGTGAACTATTTATCCCTGGCTTAGAAACTTTGCTATTATGTTCTCCACCCAGAAATTTGTACTCCCTACCCCGCCACCCAAATAGGTGTCTGTGTTCCCTTTCTACTGACATTAATGTCCTCTAGCACCTCACCCCAAAAGAGCAGAGTAAAGGAGGGAAAGTGGCCGTTATAAGGCTCCACTCCAGCCCCCTTTAAACTCTATTAAAATATGAGCTCCTACTCATGACCAGGCAACTCTTTTTAACTGCTGTAAAAAGGTCCCTACTCCCACTTACGGGTGTGATTCTGAGAATTCATCTGTTGGCCATTGTTCTATTAAGACTTCTGTATCAATTCAAGTCTAGTAAGTATCAGTACACTGGCCTTGTCACTCATGAGTCCACACAAGGTTCTACTCTTTTTCTCCCATTTGCTCATATTTCATAATTTACCACTCACTAAATAAATTGCTTGATGTGATAGCTTTGTTATAATTTAACAACTATTGTTTAGGTTTCTTTGAGGTAGGGCATAGAAAGATGACTCAGTGTTATCCATATATGTTCAACTTCAAAGCGGAAAAGGTATGGTAGGTGCCAACTACGCGTGTTTTGTGCAAAGCAAATAACGTGTAAACAGTTTTCATAAGAAGTCTACCGAGCTGCATTAAATACTTGATACAGCCACACAAAGCTACAAGTCTGAGTTCTGTTAAGTATACTATTTGGGGGAGGTAAAGCGGAGTGTTCTGAGGAGTTAGTATTTTCTCACCAACTCGGGGGAACTACTCCAAAAGTGCTTTTCCGGAACTCGTTCCCAGTTCTGCAGTGTAGCCCTGGCGGGCAGCACAGCCGGAAACCGACGATTCCTAACGGACAGTTCACGGAGAAAGCAAAGGCGGGACTTCCCTTCCAAGGAGCTCCACCGGCTGGTCCGCGGGTCTCTCCCTTCGAGCATGCGCAGCGCTTAGCGTCACCGTGGCCCCGGCAACCGCCAGGCCCCGCCCGCCGGTGTCCTGCAGAAAGAGGTCCGGCAGGGCGCGTGGAGCGGAGGCGGTGTGGACCGCGAGTTTGGCGTGGAGCAGGTCGGCCTTCCCTCGGGTCGGGGTGGTTGGGGCCGGGACCGACTGGCCCCGCGGAGTTCGTACTGCGGGCGGGGCGAGCGCTGCGTGTTTCGTGCCTGTGGGGACAGACTAGAATGGTTTGAGGCCTAAATGACTCGTGGGGAGCTCAGTCCTGAAATAGCCAGCTCCCTGTGAGCGCCATTCTGTAACTCAGACTTTGGAGTGGTCTGAGGGTGGTCACGGAAGGAGGAAGACAGGGGTGTGGATGCTGTTACCATCAGCCAATAAGCAGAGTCGTTACCTGTATCTTTTTCTTGGAAATGGGAGACAAGTATATTGACACTTTGCATTGTTAGGGGTATGAATAGCGATGTCTAACATTGCAGCATTTCAGGATTCTATGACTGGACTCCAAATTAAAAGTTTACAAGACACACTGCCTGTCATATACCCTGTTCTGTGGAAGAGACTTGGACTTTAAAAAAAAAAATATTGTACCTGTACAAATTATGTGACCTGTTCTTAGTACATCACAAACAAATATTGCAAACCGTGTTGTTTGGTCATGCATTAGTCCACAATTCAAGGCAGGAGAAATTTAAAGACTGCATCCTTAGGAGGCAAACCAGTTTACTGAAATGAAAAAAGGTACCCTTTCTACTTTGAGGAAAATAAAGTTATCAGGCTGCCGTTTGTGCCAGGCTGTGTAGAGCCCCAGAGTTGAGAAGTGAGATTCCTGGATACCTTCTACAGAATGGTTTTAATTTCGTTGATAAGTATTTGGATCTATCTAAAAGTATTTTTAAAAATCAGGAATAGGTGAATCGAAAAGAATTCTACTCTTGCCAGAAGGAAAGCGTCACTGAAAAGTGCCTCTAAATGAACACAATTCTCCGTATCAAATATGTGGACCCGGTAATAAGTACTCAGAAGTGTAAGACTTGTCTTTGCCCGTGTGGACTAATAAGGAACTGAATTAGAATCTGACTTTGAACCTAAATATAGATGTTATGTGCAAAGTAGATAGGATGAAACTGCATGCATTTAATTAATTTTGGAGAAATTGGGTGGAAGGAGGAGTTATAAATTAGTTTTTTCAGCCTATTTCAAAATGAATAGACTGTATCTTTCCATCCCCCACAACTCCAGCTGCATGTCTCTTTACATATTTAAGTATACAGTCATATACCCATGTCCTCTTTTTCATTAATTGTCTTCACACACACGCATGCATATACATAACTGGCAAAGAAAATATTAAGTGGGAAACTTCTTATATTGTTTTATATTTACTAAAGAATCTGAAGGGGATATACTTTGAAAAGTTTAGAAGACTTAAGATCATATATTTCACAAGGGGATATTTTATAAATATAACTGTCAGCTGTCTCAGCACTAGCAGATGTGTTATGGTTGACTATATATTCAAGTTGGAGAGCAATATATCTTGTAGAACCCATCTGTTAGGAAGGAAAGAATGCTGTGTTTCTTCTACTCTCACTCCATAATCATCAGGAATACTTGTGATCTCAAAAGGTGTGGGGATTTACCCCCAGCAGTAATTCTATGGTGGACACCATCTGATGTCTTCAAATTCAGCGCTGATACTAATGGAGACAGTGTCAGAATCCACAGGCTGACAATTCAGTCACGAAGATTATCTGTTGTATCCTCATAACCAGTCACAAGCTGGGCCTTCAGAATTTCCTTTCAGCTAGCTACAGACTGAGATTCTTTCAGCCCCTCCGATGCATTTGATTGCTCATGTGGCCCACAGATCTTAGGAAACACTAGGCCTGCATTTGATGGTTCTTATAAAGATATTTTAATAGATTCAAATGTGCAGACAGGTGGAAGGGAGGGATCCTTCCTTCCACTTGCTCCTGGTTCAGTTGAAGTGTACTGCCTTACAGTGAGTCCCTACATAGTCAACTGCCCAGAAGTTTGGGTTTTTATAGACAGTGTTTTATAGGCTTGATTGATAGCGGAGTGAAAGGGAACCATCAGGGCCTGTCAGATTCTTCAGCTTTCCCTCCTCCAAGGCTCAGGGCAGAATCCATTTGGAAATGGGTGTTTGTTCATCTACTATGAAAGTGGAACAATTTGGGACATGATGGGGCAGGGAGGTTGAGTTGGGGGAAGAACAGAAGAGAGCAAGATAAGACAATTTAGGTTTAAAGAAAAATCAGGCACTAGGGAAATATCTGGAGAGCTACAAAGATGACACCAGCTAACAATCTAAGCAACAGAGGAGAGGCTACCTTAAATGCCCTCTCCTGATAATTAGATTGATGACTAACTTATATGCCATCCTGTAGCCTTCATCCAGCAGCTGGTGGAAGCAGAAGCAGACACCCACAGCTAAACACTGAACTGAACTGGAATCCAGTTGCAGAGAAGGAGGACTGATGGGCAAAGGGGTCCATACCAGGCTGGTGAAACCCACAGAAACAGCTGACCTAAACAAGGGGGAGCTCTTGGTCCCCAGACTGATAGCTGGGAAACCAGCATGGAACTGATCCAGACCCCATGAACACCCCATGAACGTGGATGTCAGTGAGGAGACCTCAGAAATCTATGGGGCCCCTTGTAGTGGATCAGTACTTATCCCTAGCATAGGAATGGACTTTGGGAGTCCA